ACTAGCTGGCCCTACATGGGTCTACCACCACACCTGGCTAATTTTTCTAATTTTTAGCAGAGACAGGGTGTTACTCTTCTGGAACTAACTATTCTTGAATTCCTTAGCTCAAGTGATTTCCTGCCTCAACCTCCTAGAATGCTGGATTATGGGTATGAGCTACTGTGTCCAGTCAGTATTTTTAATAAAAGATAAAATTTGATATGTCACTACCTCTTGCTGATTTTCTTATATCAGTTTCTCTGAGTTTTTCCCTTGATTGCCATTTAACAAGACAGTGAAGCAGTGGTTTCAATCCTTTATTGGTTGTGTCCCCCATCAAAAAACCCTTGTGTATAAATCTTCATATATACATATTTATGTATTTAGAAATTATATTCATGAACTGCTACATCAAGGTTTTATTAAAATATAAAAAAGGCCAGAATTAAATGTTTAAAGGATAAGATACAGATTAAATTATCTTAAAAGTACTTTTGAATTAGTAACATTGCAAAAAACACTGCTTTGGCATATGATTAAATACATTTTAAAAAATAGGATTCATCATTCTGTAATATTTCGATTCAAAATTTTGGACTAGCTCAGTCCAAATTATAATGCTTGGGGTTTTTTACATTTTTACATTTTTATTGAGGTTTTATTTCAGTGGTTTTTAGCATATATACACGAAGCTGTACAAATATCACTACTGTCTAATTCTAGTATGTCTTTATCACCCCACAAGGAAACCCAGACTTGTTAACAGTCGTTCCTTGTTCCCTTCTCCCCTAGCCCATTGGCAACCACCAATCTATTTCCTGTCTCTATGGGGTCTATCTATACTTGACTTTTCATGTAAACAAAATGATAAAATATGTGAATTTTTGTGTCTGGCTTCTTTTACTTAATGTAATGTTTTGGAAGTTCATCCACGTAGTAGCATGTATCAGTATTTCATTCCTTTAATGGCCAAATTTCTTTTATCCCATTTTATGGCTATACCACAGTTTTTAAAATTTTAGATTAATATGGGTGTATGTCACACTACAGTTCTTTCTCTCTTCTTGTCTCTAATGGACATTTGAGGCCGGGCACGGTGGCTCATGCCTATAATCCTAGCACTCTGGGAAGCTGAGGCAGGATTGGTCACAAGTTCGAGACCAGCCTGAGCAAGTGAGAACCCCCGTGTCTACTAAAAATGAAAAACTGAAGCAAAAGGATAGCTTGAGCCCAAGAGTGAGCTGTGATGCCATGGCACCCTACCAAGGGTGACAAAGTAAGACTGTCTCAAAAATAAAAAAAAGCCTAATGGAAAATGGGTTGTTCCCATTTTCGGCTATTACGAATAATGCTTCAGTGAACACTTATGCATAAATTTTATGTGGATGTTTGTTTTCATTTCTCTCACGTATATAGGAGTAGAATTGTTAGGTCATATGCTAACTCTATGCATAGCTATTTAAGGAGCTGTCAGACTGTTTTCCAAAGTGTCTGCAGTATTTACAATCCCACCAGTAATGTATGAGGGTTACAGTTTCTCCATATTTTTGCCAATACTTGTTACTGTTCATCTTTTTGATTATAAATATCTTTTTTTTTTTTTTTTTTTTTTTTTTGGACGGAGCCTCACGCTATCCCCCTGGGTAGAGTGCCATGGCATCACGCTCACAGCAACCTTCAACTCCTGGGCTCAAGCGAGTCTCCTGCCTCAGCCTCCCAAGTAGCTGGGACCACAGGCGCCCACCACAGCGCCTGGCCATTTTTTTTGGTTGCAGTCATCATTGTTGTTTGGCAGGCCCGGGCTGGGGATTCGAACCCGCCACCTTAGGTATATGTGGCTGGCGCCTTAGCCGATTGAGCCACAGGCGCCGAGCCTGATTATAAATATCTTAGTGGATGTAAATGGTATCTCACTGTGGTTTGATTTACATTTCCCTAATCACTAATGACAGTGAGCTTCTTTTTACAAACTTATTGGGTATTTGTGTGTATCTTCTTTGGAGAAATGTGTATTCAAAATTGTATATTTTTAAAATGTTTGTCTTATATTGTTGAGTAACAAAAAGTTTTTCTTATATTCTCTGAATTAGACCTTACCAGATCTATGATTTATAAATATCCTATTCTGTGGGTTATCTTTTCTTTCTTTCTTTTTTTGAGACAGAGTCAAACAATGTTGCCCTCTCTCAATAGACTGCTGTCGTGTCATAGCTCACAGCAACCTAAAACTATTGGGTTCAAGTGATTCTCTTGCCTCAGCCTCCCAAGTAGCTGGAACTACATGTGCCTGCCACAATGCCTGGCTATTTTTAGAGATGGGGTCTCACTCTTGCTCAGGCTGGTCTCGAACCCATGCACTCAGGCAATCCACCCACCTCAACCTCCCAGAATACTAGGATTACAGGCATGAGCCACTTCACCCAGCCCTTTTCTCTTTCCTAATAGTGGCTTTGGCTTGGCTCCTATACCTCAGTGAGTAGGGTACCAGCCACATACACAGAGGCTGGTAGGTTCAAGCCTGGCCTGGGCCTGCTAAACAACAGTGACATCTGAAACCAAAAAAAATAGCTGGGCATTGTGGCAGATGCCTGTAGTCCCAGCTACTTGGGAGGCTGAGACAAGAGAATCACGTAAGCCCAAGAGTTTTAGGTTTCTGTGAGCTATGATGCCACAGCACTCTACTGAGGGTGACATAGTGAGACTCTGTCTCAATAAAAAGAAATAATTAAAAAATAAAATAATAAAAAAATATTGCCTAATCCAAGGTCATAAAGATTTCCATCTATGTTTTCTTCTAAGGCTTTACAGTTTTAGCTCTTACATTTACCTTTATCCATTCTGCATTATTTCTTATACATGGTACAACTTTGGGCAGGGTTCCACTTTATTGTTTGAAAGCAGATAGCCAGTTGTTCCAGCACATTTGAAAATACTGTTCTTTCCCTATTGAATTGTCATGGTACCCTTGTCAAAAATCAACGGACCATAAATATGGGTTAATTTTTGAACCTTCAATTTTATTCCATTGATCTATATGCCTTGACACTTGGTTTTTAACGTAGGTCCCAGATGAAAAGATAACTTACAAAGATTCATGGATCAAATATTAAAAACCTCCACATCATTATCTACCTTTACTAATCACTTTTCTATTGTGGCCACTAATTATGCAAATGTTTGTCTGGAGATCTGGCTAGTGAGTTTCTCCCCTTCTGATACCTGTGAGTTGTTCTTGCAAAATAGTGTAAGGTGTCCCTTTGTTTTCTTTGTAATGTATAGGCACAAAACTCACTGAAACTCTTCCTGAAGAAGATTTTAAGACAGGTTAGCAAATTCTTTTTTCAAGTTTTCAAAAGTGCAACTGTAAGACTTTTTAAAAGGTTTTATAATTTTGTAATTTTAGCAACAAAAACTGCAAGGCAGTGAAAACATTGCCACAGATTGATTCACAAAAATGATCTTTTCATAGTTTGAGTCTGCAAGTTTGTTGTTTAAAAAGACCTAATTTTTTTCTGGAAAATTTGTACTACAAAGTATTAGACATGTCAGCTCTTCAACTTTATTGGTACTAACTTGTGTTTACACTTTTAGTGTCCTCCTTGATCTGAGATTTCTTTGTGGTAAACGATTTTAAGACATATATCCATTTTGAGAGAGTATGGTAGTTACAATTATGGAATGTAATCTGTTGAATTTTTTCTTCTTATTTCACCAGCTTCTGTGTATACCAGTATCATTTCCTTCATTATACATTCTTAGGGGTAATTCTGGTATTATTTCTTTAATCTCCTGAGTTGGATGTTACTAATTTTTAGACTTTCCTATTTTTCTAATGTGTTAAAGACCATAACTTTTCCTCTAGGAGCTACTTTAGTTGTTTCTAAGAGATTTTTTGTTTCTTTGTTTTTGAGACAGAGTCTCATTTGTTGCCCTCGGTAGAGTGCCCTGGTGTCACATCTCACAGCAACCTCAAACTCTTTGGCTCAAGTGATTCTCTTGTCTCAGCCTCCTGAGTAGCTGGTACTACAGGTGCCTGCCACAACACCCAACTATTTTTTCTTTCTTTTCTTTTCTTTTTTTTTTTTTTAGAGATGGGGGTCTGACTCTTGTTCAGTCTGGTCTTAAACCTGTGAGCTCAGGTAATCCACCTGCCTCGGCCTCCCAGGGTGCTAGGATTACAGGCATGAGCTACTATGCCTGGCTGTTTCTAAGAGTTCTGATAGTATTTTCTTATCATTCACTTTCATTTGTTTTAATTATCATATAATTTCTGTGCTGATTCATGAGCTATTTAATAGTGTAACTAAAACATTTACTACGTATGGGTATTTTTTACTTTCTATTGCTACTGATTCTTAGGTGAGACGCTTTGCTGTCCGATAAAGTGATTTGCATGCTACTGATTCTTGACATTGATCTTTTTTGTTTTGTTTACATTTCATTTTATTTTATTTTTTAATTGCCTTATTTATTTACTTATTGTGAGACAGAGTCTCACTCTGTCATCCTGGGTAGAGCGCCATGGCATCATAGCTCCACAGCAACCTCAAACTCTTGGGCTTGGGCAATACTCCTGCCTCAGTCTCTTGCATAGCAGGGACTACAGGCGGGTTCCACGACTCCCGCCTGGTTAGTTTTTCTATTTTTAGTAGAGACAGTCTCACTTTTGCTCAGGATGATCTGGAACTCCTGAGCTCAGGCAATCCACCTGCCATGGCCTCCCAGAGTGCAAGGATTATAGGCATGAGCCAAAGCCCTCAGCCTTTTTTTTTTTTTTTTTTTTTTGAGACAGAGACTCATTCTGTTGCCCTGGGTAGAGTGCCTTGGTGTCATAGCTCACAGCAGCCTCAGACTCCTGGGCTCCTGCGATCCTTTTACTGCAGGTGCTGGCTACAGCACCCAGCCAGTTTGTAGTAGAGAAGGGGTCTGGCTCTTGCTCAGGTTGGTCTCAACCTCCTCCATCAAGCAATCCACTGTCTTGGCCTCCCAGAGTGCTGGGATTACAGGCATGAGCCGCCATGTCTGGCCTTGGCATTGTCATACTTAATACATGGTGAGTTTTATAAATGTTTGCCTAGAGTTAGCCAACTGCAAAATTGTGAGCACAGTGTGTTTGAAACTGCCCTCACTTCTAACACCATGTACAAGGCGTTTCAGCCAAGTAACCATGAATCTCCAAGCTTGCCCTCACTTCTGACATCAACTGCAACTTCTGGGCATCCCAAAACCATCCTCAGGTTCAATCATTCACTAGAAGAACTCACAGAACTCACGGAAGACGCATGTACTTATGGCTGGGGTTTATTACAGGGAGAGGATAATGTTTTTATTGTATCTTTTGAAAATGGCACATATCTGGATTTCGTTCTAAGAGATCCTGGCTTCTAATTGAAAAATACACCTCTTTTTACTATCTTTCACAGAAAAAACAATTTTAAAAAAGATAAATAAGGTGGCACCTGTGGCTCAAGGAGTAGGGCGCCAGCCCCATATACCGGAGGTAGCGGGTTCAAGCCTGGTCCTGGCCAAAACTGCAAAAGATAAATAAAGTTTACTCCACTGAACTTTGCTGTGGGTTTATTTTTGCCATTTCCTTATGCACATCTGTGTCTCACACATTCTGCATTTGCCTTTCCTTTTCTGCTGTATTTTCCTTTTCTTTTCTTGCCTTTTGGATACATTAAAATGTTTTATCTCATTTCATTTTTCTGCCCTTTATGAATTTGAAGCATATACATTTAATTTGTATCATTTTGGTGGTTACTCTAGTAATTTTAACATACATTCTTAAGGTATAAATGATAAAATACCTAACTCAAAACAGCCTCCTCTGGGTTCCAGACTCTTCTTGCCCAGCCCTTTCTTTCTCTTTCACTCCTTCTGCCACTAAAATTTATAATTAGTTTATATTTATTTACATTTATCTGCATGTATTATCCCTGCTTAGGATTTACTGAGCTTTCTAAGTCTTTCTAAGTCATTCATTGTTTCTGACAAAGTTTTAGCTTTTGTTGTTTTGAATATTTTGTGTCCCCTATTCTCTTTATTTCATTTTAAAAATCTGATAAGACATACATCGGCCCTTTCCAGGCTGCCCTCCACATCTCCATCTTTCCTTTCTCTGTGTTCCCTTTGTCTCTCTGGGCTGCATTCTGAGCCTGTTTCCAGACCAGTTTTCTAGTCCCCCAGTTCTCACCAGAGGCTGAATTTATGAAGAACAATAGCCAGAGCCTCATAACAGGATTCCAATCCACATGAGATGCCCGGAAAGCCAAACCACAACTTTCACAGCAATCTGCTGGGAACGGTCAAGACGTAGATGGTGATGGTCAACTTTCCTATTTTTTTTTTTTTTTTTTGCTGTGGCTTCTACCCAACCAGAGCAGGCCAGACATCCATCCCAAACCAATCACATGAAATGCTTGCTTCTAGCTGTTCCACCTCTAACTGCCAACAGCCTCTAATCAGAGGTACCTGGAGCCTTAACTTGCCATCCCTATAAAGCTTTTTCATGCATCTGCTTATCTTAGAGTCCCTGCCGCACTTAAGTGATGGTGATTGACTCTGTTGTTCCATAGCAAGCTCTAAAGAAATGGCCCCTGTTTTCCTTTGGATGCTCTTTGTTTCAGCACCAGTTAGGTGCTGTTGTTTGAGGCTTCCATTTTTTATTTTTAATTTCAATTTTGTATTTTTCTATTTTAGAAGTTCCATTTGATTCTTTTTCTAAACTGGTCCTTTATTTATTTATTTATTTTTTGAGACAGAGTCTCACGCTGTCACCCTGGATAGAGTGCTATGGCGTCAGAGCTCACAGCAACCTCAAGGTCTTGGGCTTAAGCGATTCTCTTGCCTTAGCCTCCTAAGTAGCTGGGACTACAGGTGCCTGCCACAATGCCTGGCTTTTGTTTTTTTTTTTTTTTTGGTTGTAATTGTCATTGTTTGGCAGACCTGGGCTGCATTCAAACCTGCCAGCTCCAGTGTATGTGGCTGGCACCCTAGCTGCTGAGCTATCAGCACTGAGCCTCTAAACTGGTCATTTTTATAATTTCTTATCTTTTGCCTCTATTAAAGTTTCTGTTGACATACGAAATGTTGTATCGGATGATTCTAATATCTCAAGTCTTCATGAAGGCAGGCCTTATTCTTTTCTTTGGGATCCCACATAGTTTTTTGCTCCTTTTCTCTCTCTCTTCCCCACCCCCCACCCACCCATTTTCCCTTCTCTCATTCCCTCTCTTTTCTCTTAAAGCATAAAATAAATTTATACTTTGGGTGGCACCTGTGGCTCAAAGGAGTAGGGTGCCGGCCCCATATGCCAGAGGTAGTGGGTTCAAACCCAGCCCTGGCCAAGAAAAAAACTGCAAAAATAAATTAAATAAATAAATAAAATTTATACTTTTATATTCTAAAAAAAAAAAAAGTCTTCATGAGGGTGCTTTTAATATTTGTTATTTCCACGCTCTCTTATTCCTGGTAGCTTATTTTCTTGAGTGTTCTTTGTTGTTTTTTTTTTTTTTTTTTTAATTATGAGCAAAAGTTTGTTGTACTGTCTGTAAGAGCTGGCTGGGGTCTGCCCTGAGGGCACGTTCTCTAGGAAACCTTTGCCTGAGGCCTGACCTGAGGGCACGTTCTCTACGAAACCTTTGCCTTTGCTTCTTCTAGGGACCTGGAGGCATCCAAAATTACTTAAAATGAAGTATTTGGGGGGAAAGTTTCAATCTACATTATGAAAGTTTGGAGAGCAATACATGCAAGTGAAATCTCGTGTTATTGTCTTTCTGTAAATTTAAGAGGCAAATATATTAGTAGTAATGATGTGTTCAAACTGAGTAGACAGACATTGAGTGTTTGATCATTATCTTCTAAATTCCTCAAAAAAATGTTTAAAATAAAACCCTTAATACACATGTATATAAGAAGTGATTCTAACGTAAGCAAAGTGTGTTTTAACAAACACAATAGAACTTATTTTCCTTTTGTGTACAATAAAAAGCATGTTTAAAGGAATCTGTATTCTTTTCTAGCTGTAAAATCGTATTTTTTAAAAAGCCACAGATAGCAGAAATCAAGAGTTGAGTCCCAGGAGTTTGGACTGTTTGTTGCTCCCTCCAAAACATTTCTTTAAATTGTATCACGTATGCAAGAATAATTTCCCTGTGTTGACTCAGAATCCATAATTCTTATAGAAGCACTGGTCTAAATAACATTTGTGTTGATGGTATCTTTTTCTTATTCCGTCTAATCTTTTGTATTTCAAAGCTGCAGTTCAATCACTGCCCCAGTTACTAACTGGATCGGGCCACTTTGGAGATACTGAAACAAGGAAGGCAAGAGCTCTCAATCTATGAAAAATAAACAAACAACCATGAAGGAAAACAGACTTTGATAAGTGTTCTAGCCCAGCAGAGAAGTTTTATGAAGCATAAATGAGGAAGAAGTTGTTCAAATGGAGGGTCAGAGAAAGGATCACAGGGAAAGGGCCATTTTCAGCTTTACTGCCTTTCCTGACAAAGATCCAGTTTCCTTATGATCAGGCCCACAGAAGAGGGTGATGCTTATGGAATGAGAGATAGTAAAGGATTCAAGAGACTTTTACCCACTGGAGTAAGTGAGATCTTAGCCAAGAAAAGTTCAGCTGGATTCAGTTGGCTCAATAGAAGTTTCCAGCACTTTGAAAATTCCAGAAGTAACTACTAAACCTACCCCTTATCATTTCACAGAGCATGAATTATATACCCGCCTGGGTTTTGTACACTGATAACCATTCCTTCCTATAGTATAGTATCACTCAACACAAAACGGGTCTGCGAGTGTGTTGCCACTGGAGCCTCCTCCTACAGAAGGGTACAAATAGAAAAACAGCGTGGCTCGGCGCCTGTGGCTCAAGCGGCTAAGGCGCCAGCCACATACACCTAAGGTGGCAGGTTCTGATCCCTAGCCCAGGCCCGCCAAACAACAATGATGGCTGCAACCAAAAAATGGCCAGGCGTTGTGGCGGGCGCCTGTAGTCCCAGCTACTTGGGAGGCTGAGGCAGGAGACTCGCTTGAGCCCAGAAGTTGGAGGTTGCTGTGAGTGTGATGCCATGGCACTCTACCCAGGGGGACAGCTTGAGGCTCCGTCTCAAAAAAAAAGAAAAGAAAGAAAAACAGCGTGATGGGTCTCATTACCTTTCCCACACCCACCTTCACAGCTTTGCTGGGGGCAGTAGGGGAGAAGGTAGAAACAGATACTGAGTGTGGCACTTGGCATCTGAAGAGAGAATGGTGATATATAAATATATCCACATTTGAATTGTAACGAGAGATGAGAGTCTGAGAAGACAGGCTTGTTTGGAAGGAGGATGGCCTAGAACAAGCACCCCAAACACAATCCCATACCGCATCCAAGGAAGAAGCCCAGGTCAGCAAGCAAGCTCGGGAGAACCAGGAATAGAGCAACGGGCAAAACTTGAGTCCCCGAAAAAGTTAAGGATGGGAAGAATAAGCTACCTTAGTTCTGAAAGATCTGGCACAGCAGCTGATGAAGCTGATGAAGCAGGGACAGGAGTAACAGCAGGTCCACAACAGGAAAGGAGAGAGTGGGGAACTAAATGGGGTGCCTTGCCTGGAGGTGGAGACATGGATGACACATCCTAGGGAACCAGCCAGGAACCAGGGACCAAGACAGGCTCATACAGGGGAGGCGGTGGGCCCGGCTCAGGGCTCTTGCGCATCCTGTTGTCATGATCTTGTATAAAGCTGAACTCACAGATGCTGGATCCCTAGAGGAACAAGGGAGCCCCTAGCCAAGCAGATCCCTGGACAGCCTTCTCAATAAGAGCAAGGGCTGTGCTCCCCCGACGTTGAATCCTGTGCCACTTGCAAGATTTACCATCATGGGCCATTGCTTTGTCTCTTTGGCTCGGTTTTAGCATCTGTAAAATGAAGATGACTACCCATGGAGTTCTTGTAAGAATTAAATGAAATCATGTTTCAGAAGCATTTAGCACATTGCCTGCACATAGTAGGCACTTGGTTATCCTCATTGATATTATAAGGAGACGCTGACAAAAAATCAAACTGTTGAAGTGTGTTCTAGACCCTACAGAACACCCCCCGCCCCGCGTTATCTGTTTCTGAATGCATGGGAGCAATTTTAACAACTTTGTAATTTGTAGACAACTGATCATACTGCAACATAATTCCTCTCTGGTAGCAGGTCAACTGCTTACCCCTTGTGGAAAATGCCATTTTTGCCTCCATTTGTGCATTCATTTTAATATTCCTCATCTATAAGCCAAGACTCCCCTGGAATATACCAGACCAGGGCAAATATTTTTAGCAGAAACTACTTGATGGACACTTTAAGTGGGTGATTTGTATGGCATCTGAATTATATCTCAACAAGGCTGTTAGAAATAGTTGTGGTTTCTTTTTTTTTTTCCTATTTTTTTTGTCACCCAATACTATGCGGGTAGTCCTAGGGGCCGTATAGTGTGATCCTCTGAAAAAACCCAGGCAGGAGCAATTCAGGTCACCCTTTTGAGGGAGCCCAGACCACAGGCCCCTGGGAAAAGTCCATAGTGAAGTCCTGGGAGGCATCTGGTCAACCCCACATGCAGGGGCAGAGGGCCAGAGAATGTGCCACAGAGGAGAAAATGGAGTGTAGCCAAGTGGATCCCAGTCTGGATGTGAGACTGAAAAGGACTTAGAAAATTTCAGTGAAGGTGCTTCAATGTGTGAGTGGCTGGTAGGGCAGGGCTGGGGCAGAGGTCCCTCATGCCATAATGTAAGGGCAGGTACCACTACCAAAAAATGTTTCTTTCAAAAATGCTAGCTCTGGCCATGTTCCTTCCTGTAGCCTCCCAGCCCTGCACACTAATGGAGGCAAAATTTTTGTTGAATTCTTAAGTAATGGCATTAAGGAAAAAAAGAAAATCCAGAAGCATATAACCCTCCCCAGGATGCCTGGAGGTTAGGGGTCGGAAGTGAATGGGACAGAAGCTATTAGTACAGAAAGTTGCCAGGGAAAAGATCACTGTCACTGTCACCCTTAATAACAGGATCCCTCCAACATTGGATGGTGAAGAGAAGCCTTCACCAGGGCAGAAGGTTGAAGAACAGAAGAGTGAATTGAGATCAGCTCCTAATTTTGCAGTTGAAATTATAAAGAATGATGGCAAGAAGGCCCTTGTGCTGGACTGTCTCTCTCCAAAGGATAAAACTGGACAAGGGGAGGCTGAGGGTGACATTTTCTCTATCAGAGAAGTTAGCTTTTGGTCCACGGGCAAATCTGAATGGAAGGACACTAATTACACCCTTGAAACCATCCTTAATAAAATCAATAGAATGCTGAAGGGTGGAAACAGTGGCAAGGGCCTGAACTCTGAAAAGGTATTGGCATATTTAAAAAATAGACAGCCATTGTTCCCAAGCTTGCTTTCCTACAATTGCTTATTTCTTAGACATCACAAATCCCTAAAGGCCTTAAGAATTCTTGTTGACCCTAAGTTATTAACTTCCCTAATTTTTTCTATAGATAGCATCACTATTATAATCCCAAGACTGGTCTTTGGGGCATTTTCCAGATGCTGCATTTGGGTGCACCTCATGATGCCAACCAGACCAACGGCCATATGTGGGAACTGATTCACTAGGCCTGTGACTCATTGCAAGAAGACAATTTCTACTTCCCAACTCTACGAGTTCATCCTCAGCCAGCCAGCAGACCCAATTCCCTAGCCCTTTGTCCACCAAACTATTTTCAAAAACCATGCCCCCAAAATTCTCAGGGAGATGGATTTGAGAAACTCCTCCCATCTCCTCGCTCAGGACCTCACGATATTAAAATTTTCTCTGCTGCAACCCATGCCATGCCTGTGGGTTGTCCTGCCTTTGAGCAGCAGGCAATGAACCCAGTTGGGCGGCAACACAGTCAACACAGAGTCCTTGGACTGGGCCTTGCGTGACCACTTAATGGATTTTCTCCTGGATGGAGGGGTGGACAAGACTTTTGCAGATGAGTCAGCACAGCATTGGAATGGGCCCTGTGTACTTTGCCTTTGCAGGAGCTCTCTCACTATAATAGAAGGTGTGGGGTTTGGGGGGATGGTGTGAGGGGAAAAAAAGAAAAAAAATTCTCTTTGACCCTAAGTTCATTTTTTCCTTCTGATTTTTAAAAGAAATTAAAACATTTTGGTGGGCCTTTAAAAGTATTGTGGGGTTCTAGCCATTGTGCCCAACAGAATGTCACACCTGTGACTATCTCAGGTAGCTGAGACAGCCAGTCTGATCTACCTACTACGTCGTTAAGAGCAGCAATCTTTGGGCGGCGCCTGTGGCTCAGTGAGTAGGGTGCTGGCCCCATGTACCCAGGGTGGTGGGTTCAAACCCAGCCCCAGCCAAACTACAACAAAACAAAACAACAACAACAATAAGAGCAGCAATCCTGGAGCAAAGCAGCCTGGGTTTGAAGCCTGCGCCTGCTCCTCCTGAGGTCTCTGTGTGACCTTGGGGGAGTTATTTAATGTCTCTGTGACTCAGTTTCCCCATCCATAAAATAGGATTGATACTATCATCCAATTTATAGGGTTGTGGCTATGGTTAAATGGCCTAATAGGTGCTAAGATGAGAGCCTGACACAGAGCACCACATGTGTGAGCTATTATCATTATCAATTATTGTCAGTATTAGGTCCTCAATCAATATATCAGATAAAATGAATGAAACTTCTTCATATGCACAGATATTTTCAGCAATATCAAAGCACCTTAAAAAGAAATTTTAAAATTGGGACATAATTATTTCTAGTTTTGAGAAAAAGGAGAAAAGCCCAAAACCCTCTGGGAGATGAAGCAGCCCCCGGATGTTAGATGAGCACTTTCCCTACCCTTTATCAGCATCACAACCCCCCTTCAGTGGGCAGTGTTGAAGAGCCCATGCTTCCAAACAGTAAAAGTAACACAGCCCCTTGAACACCTGCAGGGACACGGAGTTGAGTCTTTCCTCGAGCACCTTATTTCACTGCCAGATAATGTCTTAGATGTTCTTCCATGTATTTTGACTAAAGTACCACCTCCTGCAACTTCCAGCCACTCATCCTGCCTCTGCCTGTTTGAAGCTACGTAGAGCGAGCTCATTCTCTTTCAGACAAGCTCCCACGTATTTTCCAATGGGGATCAAGGATTCTTTTGGCATCCATCTTCCAGGGTAGTAACTCTTTTTTCATCCATGCTCTGAGGGCCATGACTTACAAACTCCTTACCAGCCTGATCTTTCTCCTCAGGGTATGATCTAATGCCACTTTTAACACATGGCATCTCAATGTGAATGTGGTATGCCAGCTCTGCTCTATCCGGACGGGGAGTCCTGCAACTTCACCTCCTTTGCTCTGAGTGCCCTTCTGTGTTAGTAGAAATATACATTAAGATTCCTTGACATGGTTAGGGGAGTTGCATTAGTCTATTGGGTTATAGTAAACTAGTGTAAAAAGAAAATCAAAGTTTCAGGGCCAACATCCTACCCCCTAATTTTTTATGCAAAAGAGAAAGTAAAAGCCTAAAGCCTAGACACTGGTCTAAAGAACTGGACCTAAAGATCATCCATTAAGAGAATTTCTTGCTAACCTCCCATAAGCAAGGACGTGCAAATTGTACCTCTATCTAGCACCTAAAACTAAAGACTGTTCAACTCCACACAAACAGTGAATTACAAGGTTACCTTACGGGAAACAGAACTAGAAACAAAACAGAATCAGACCTTCTTCCACCTACCCAGGGACGTCTACATAGCTGATGGTTCCTTCACTCTCTTGTTTTATATAAAATCTAGATTCCTCGGGCCTCATGAGAATGTAACCACTGCCTCACCAGTTTCCCCTGCCCCTGCCCTTTTCTGTCTCTCTGTAGCCCTTTAAAATGCTGAAGGTTCCAACCTCCCCGTTGGAAAAACAGCCATGACTTGTCTGTGGTTCGTGTTTTTCCAGGCATGTCTTCAAAGTCTTAGCTTAATAAACCTAAGATTGAGATTTCTGCCTCCTTTATTTGGGCCAACACTAGTGATCAGCTAAGGATCTAGGATCAACTCTGGATCTTTTTTAAATAAAAAGCTATTGAACCAGGTTTTCTCCACCCTTTACTTCTACAATTCATTTTATTTTGTTTATTTATTTATTTTTATATTTTGAGATAGGATCTCACTCTGTTGCCCTGGGTAGAGTGCTGTGATATCATAGCTCACAGCAACCTCAAACTCCTGGGCTTGAGCAATCCTCTTACCTCAGCCTCCTGAGCAGCTGTGACTACACGTTCCTGCCACAACACCTGGCTAGTTTTTCTATTTTTTGGCAGAGATGGGATCTCACTCTTGCTCTGGCTGTTCTTGAACTCCTGAGCTCAAGCAATCTTCCCACCTCGGCCTCCTAGAGTGCTAGGATTACAGGCATGAGGTGCTGTGCCCAGCTGAGATCTGATTGTCAAAAGGAATCTGGCACGTCCTCCCTCTCTGGCCAGGTGCAGTGCCTGCTCCCCACTCCACCTCTGCTTTGATCAGAGGCTCCCTAAGGCCCTCACTAAAACCAGAAGCCAGTGCAGTCAGGATTGTCAAGCACCCATGGTTACTTTCCCACAGAGGGACAATTTCACTGCATAAATTCAGCCGCGTCGCTACTGGCTTAGGACCTCTCACTTGTTATGGTTGACAGGGCCCAGCCCTTCCTTTCTCACCAGCCTCACCTCCTGCCTCTGGCTCCCCTTCCGTTTTGTGTTCTCGTGGTCATTCCCTAGCTGACAGGGTTTTACACGCTACTATGCTTCTGTACACACCTTTCCATCTGTCTGAGCTGCACTTTGCCCCTGTCCATTTGCAAAGTCTTATTTATCCTTCCAAATCCAGCTCATGTGGCTCATGCTTTGTGAAGACCCTTCTGTTTTTTTTTTTTTAATTGTTTGGGGTCCATTGAGGGCAGAAAGAATTAGGTTACACTGATGCATTTGTTAGGTAAAGTCCCTCTTATAATTGTGTCCCACCCTGCAGAGGTGTGCCATACACTGTAACTCCCCATCCTCCTCCCATGAATTTACTTTTTTTTTTTTAAATTTTCTGTTAAGCAGGTCCAGGCTTGCTGGTGGTTTGAACCCTCCACTCCTGGTCCACAGGGCCAGTTCCCTAACCACTGAGCTGCAGGTGCCATCCAGACCCTTCAGTTTGCCCACAGTGTGATTTTCTTACTGCACAGATTGCACAGAATCCAGGGATCAGCGCAGTGGGTGGCCTTCCTCACTGAGGTGCTAGCATCATGAGGACAGAGATGGGAGGTGGCTCATCTGGCAATCCCAGCATCCAGCTCAAGGCCTGAATGAAAAGGGCCAGGTAAGCCCACATGACCTGAGAAAAAGGCTCCCAGGCTTTTCATTGAGTGGGCAAACGTGACAGTTTCAAATGACAACTGCAGCTTTCTAAAACTCCTACAATCTGCGTGTACGTGTGTTTCTGCACAGCCTACATTTTAAAACAGCTTAGGAAATGTTCTAGAGGTTTCTTTACTCACACCACCTACCCACGATGTGCACAGAAACACCCCCCCACCCTGCATTCTTCAGCGGCTGTGGGCCCAGAGGAGCCCATGAAGGCGATGCCACAGCCAGACAAGGCTCTCTTGGTTCCTCTCGCCCTGAGGTCTTAGCACCAAGTCAGACTATTCTAAAGCCCTTTTCAAAAGTGTTTCATTAGCTGTGCACTGGAGATTTACTTCATGGAGTTCTGCTAAGGGCAGGATCGCACTCCACACACGGATTTGTGTTGGTATGTTGGGAAGTTGGAGGGAAGACATAAACACGTTTATTCAACTCGTGGGTTTTTTTTTTTTTTTAGTACAACTCTAATTCATGTTTCCTTCAAATGAACTATTAATGTTCAACTGCAAATCAGTCCCCAGAATCTCTGTAAGTGTAGCAGAATTTCACACTGCCAGTAAGTCCCAAAAGGCCATATTTCAAGCTAAGGCTCATGGCAAACAACACCCTTCCCACCAAGAATGAACCAGTTTGATGAAAGTATTTCAAATTGTATATAAAATGAGCACATTGTACCCCATAATTGCATTAATGTATGCAGCTATGATTTAATAAATAAAAAAAAAGAATGAGCCACTTTTCAACGGCTTAGGAAGGCTGGGATCAAAACCAGAGTGGCAGGGGGGGCCTGTGGCTCCGTGGGTAGGGTGCTGGCCCCATATATTGAGGGTGGCAGGATTGAACCCAGCCCCGCCCAGCTAAACCAGCAGTGACAACTGCAAAAATATAGCCAGGCATTGTGACAGATGCATGTAGTCCCAGCTGCTTGGGAGGCTGAGGCAAGAGAATCACTTAAGTCCAAGAGTTGGAGGTTGCTGTGAGCTGTGACACCATTGCACTCTACCGAGGGCAACAGAGTAAGACTCTGTCTCAAAAAAAAAAAGAAAAAAAACAGCATGGCTGATATAATAACATAATGAAGGAGGATAACTTAGTTAAAAGCAATTCTTCTAGATTAGGAAATTTTGTGACATTTTGACTACGTTTAATGCCTTAAAAAAAAAAAAAAACACTTTCCACAAGCCTTTATTTGGTGATACACATGTGCAGGGCCCAGACCTGGCTAGTCAGAGGGAGCTCAATGTGAGGTCCCCGGGCCTGTAAGGAGCCTGCCATGTCCAGGGACCATTGGGCCTCACAGTCAGCTGTAATATAAGCTAAGGGAAGGAGAAATTTGCTGGGGACAAGCTTGGAAATTTTACTGATGGGATGGTATTTGAGCCTTGAAGAATAGCAGAATTTCAACAGGCAAAGATGGGGAAGAATATCACTCTAGAACATGGGAGCAATGTGGGTTGGAGGATAGAATGATGTGGGTTAAGGAGTAGAGGGAACTCTGCAGGGAGGGTCCCCTCAGTGAATGGTGGCCATGTCTACAGCATTGGGTACACTGGGACAGGGGACTGTGACAGGGGAGGGGAGATAAGGGTGGAAATACAGCTTTGAAGTCATATCCTAAGAGACTGCGATGCATCCATGAAGAATGTTAGTCTGGAGGCAGTGGGGAGCCGTGTAAGACTATAGGCAAGGACGCACATGACCTGATTTTTGCTTGGGGTCAGTGACTCTGGAGGCAGGCAGTGTAATGAATGGATTTGAAGAAAGAGGTCAAAGGCAGAGAGAGCCCACTTGGTGTTTATAACTTTTCTTCTTAACACCTCACTGCTTAGATTTTATGACACGTTACGGATTAGCATGTACAAGTTTTATCTTCACACCTCTCCTCCGCTCTCAGAGGCAGGCGTTCCGACTCAGTGAAGGCATTCCCTCTCCCGTCTGCATGAGGAAGATAACCTCTGCAGTCATCACACACGTTGCTTCTTGTATGCAGCTGACTTGAGATTTTTCACCCTTTCTAGCAAAGGCTAAGTGCTATAAAATGTTTACTTATGTGGCCTGAAATTACATGTGAGCTTTTATTTTAAAATAAAATTTTGCTCTGATTTAGCAATTCTATTGATGAGAGATTTATTCCAAGGAAATAGTCAGGATGGCCACAAAGCTTTATCAGAAAGGACACTCATCTTTGTAGTAACAAATGCAGACATGGATTTGTTCACCTCTGAATAATAATTTTTAAGAATGGAAGCAGCCTAATTAAAAGAAGATTGGGTAAATAAGTTTCACAGCCAATTGAATCCTTTATAGAAGAATACCTAATAATATACGTAAATGTTATAATGTACTGTTAAATCGAAGAAGATTACAAAATGGTATGACTATATTTTTGTTAAAAAAAATTAATAAAGCATTTATGGAAGGAAATCCTAAGGGTATTGACCACACTGAGAATAGTGGGTAGCTTTGCTGAAGGGTATGATGGGTGATTTTTATTTTATTCTTTGGCCTTTCTTATATTTTATAAATTTTCTACAATGAACATGTAACAATGACTATCAAAT